ACACTCGGGCCCCTCACGTTAATGAGAAGGTGTTCTTTCCATATGGACAGACTTATTTTTTTCCTAATGAAAAGGGAATATTTATTTTGAGTTGCCCTGGAGGGCACAGCTGACAATAATTAATAGAAATCACAGAGCGCCAACTCTGTTGATTAGAATGATGAGATTTCTAACTTTCAAAGTTGTCCAACAACAGAATGAGCCGCCTTGATGTAGAGAGGTCCAGAGTTTTGAAGGCCAAAATTTGATGGTGATATTTTGGAGAGGAATAAGTTTTCAGTGGCGCTTCCCTGGTAGCTCAGACAGTAAAGAATCCACCTGCAATGCGGGAGATCTGGGTTCGATCCCTGGGTTGGGAAGATCCCCTGGAGGAGGGCATGGCAACCCACTCCAGTATTCTTGCCTGGAGAGTATTAAATGGAGGCATGGGCCAGATGAACACTAAGACTTTGTCCAACCTTATCTTGTTAGTCTATCATGATTTTGCAATACAGCAAACCTTTTCTTTATCTTTTAGTTTAGTGGCATGAGTTCTGAATGGTTCTTGTCACTTACTTCCAATTCCACAGATCAATAGAATACTGGTTGCTGCCTTCCTGGCAACTATGACAAAAGCCAGCACAATCCAAATTTGGCAGGATGGCGGAAAGTTTTATGAGTAGGTTCATTAGATGTAATAGCAAGAAGAGATTCACTTCCTCATTTGATCCCCCAGATCCATGTATTCTGAGGATGGCAGAATTAATACACTATATTGATTGCTTTGTCAAAGCATGGTAAATTAATCATTCTGAGATAGTTTGAAAGCTTCAGATGTTAGTTGCATTCATGTCTGGGCACCCTTCTTTGTGGGGGGTGATACTGTATCTATAGGAACGTTGTTCACATCCCCAGACAGACACTATCTGCATTCATTGCGAGTGCTGATTCCTTCTCCTGTGCACCAGGCCTTGTTCTTGCCCTAGGCCCTGGCTACTTGGCTTGAAACGTGCCCACCTCGAAGCCCTTATTTTCTTTTCTTACTTTTGCTGGAGATGTGACTATAATGGATTTTCTCTACTACCATGATAAAAGGGGCTTCCCTGGTGGCTCAGGGGTGAAGAATCCGCTTGCAATGCAGGAGATGTGGGTTTGATCCCCGGGTCAAGCATGTCCTCTGGAGGAGGGCATGGCCACCCACTCCCGTATCCTAGCCTGGGACACCCCATGGACGGAGGAACCTAGCCAGCAGGCTACAGTCCACGGGGTTGCAAAGAGTTGGACACAGCTTAGCGACCAAACCACCGCCACCACCATGACAAAAAGACAACTGATGGGGAAGGATGGGGTGGGGAGAACTGGGGAATCTGTGTCTCGTTTTAAAGGGCATCTCTGACTCAGCACCAGATGAGTCTAGCTGTGCTGAGATGAAGACTGGTGGAGTGCTCCAATTCAACTTTTCTTCGCAGGGAAGGTGGGAATGTGGGTTTTTGAAGTGTGATTGCCTCAGAATTTTTTATGCTGGCCAAAAACTTTAGGCTTACTGTTATCTGTCCATGTGCCACTTATTGGCAGGGCGCATCAGGGTTGTGGGTGAGCCATCGGTCCTCTGCCAACCCCTGTGCTGGGCGGGAGGCAGCAAGGGCGGTGTGGTCAGGAGTGCCGGATGCCAATCCAGGATGCATTCTCCCCTTCTTTGTTAAAAATAGGGCCCCAAGATAGTCGAGCTGGCTGTGTGTGCCACTGAGGACCATGTTCCCCAGCCTGCCTTGCTTAGTCATCTGACTCCCATGTGGCTAAGTCCTGGCCAAGAAGAGGCCAGTGATTGCACTTGGCTGTTTTTGAGAAGGCTACAAAATGGGGATCGACAGCTGGAAGTTTTCCCCTTTTCTCCAACGTTCTTCTTCAAACAGTGAAGTGATGGCTACGGCTTCAGCAGCCACAGTGGACCAAGGGGAAGCCTTGATACAGAAGCCGTATTAGCACGCTTGGCCTACCGTGACAAAAATGCCAGGGACTGGGTAACGTAAGCTGCAGGTATTTATTTTTTCAGCGTTCTGGAGGCTGGAAGCCTGAGGCTGAGGAGCTGCGAGGTTCGGTGTGTTCAGAGGCCGCTCTGCACCTCCTGGCCGTGTCCTCACAGGGTCTTCTCTGCACGCGCTTGTCCCTGGTGCCCCTTTCTGTGTCCACATTTCCCCGTCTCACGAGACATCCGTCAGATTTTATTAAAGGCCCTGCCTCCAGATACCGCTGGAGAAGGAAATGGCAACCCACTCCAGTGTTCTTGCCTGGAGAATCCCATGGACAGAAGAGCTTGGCAGGCCACAATCCCCAGGGTTGCAAAGAGTCAGACACGACTTAAGCGGCTTAACACATGGTCCAAATACAGTTGTGGTCTGAGGTGCTGGGGGTTAAAATGCCAGCATACCAGTTTTGGGCTGGGGAGATAATTCTGCCCACAACAGAAGTTGTGCATGAAAGATGCTGGGACCGAAGGACTCTGCGCCTGGGTGTTCTTCACCTGCGGGGAGTGTCCGTATCAGTCAGAACCATTTCTAGCCTTTTCTTTTTACATTTATTTTGTTTATTTATTTTTAGCTGCGCCGCGGGACATGTGGGATCTTAGTTCCCTGGCCAGGGATCAAGCCCGTGCCCCTTGCATTGGAAGCGTGGAGTCTTAACCACTGGACAGCGAGGGAAGCCCCAAGCCTTTGCTTTTTAAAAAATAAGATTCCATCACAATTCAGGACGCATGGGGATGTCGTCTCCCTGATCCTTTGTCAGCCTGAAAAATCTCTTTGTTATTAACTCAGTTCTGCCTTTAACTCAACCTCTTCTGGGAAACGTCTCTGACTCCCGTAGGCAGCAGGCATCATAAGAAACCTTCGAAGCTTTAACTGTTATCGTCAGATCGCTGTTGGGAGCAGCGGCAGGCGGTTCTTGGCAGATTCATGGGGCTTCCTGGAAGAGGAGGGGTCTGACCGGTGTGGGTTTTCCGGAGGCCTGAGGGGAGGGGGGACATTCAAGGGTAAGGGAGGCGCCAGCAGGAGAACCCGAACAGGAACCGAAGGACAAAAGCTCCCGCAGCCAAAAACAACCAAGAATGTTCATGTTTTCTGAACTAAAGTTGAGAAGTGTGTTTAGGGGATTCCATTTTTATTCAAGGAGCCTGGGTTCTCGGCTCTAAACCACTTCACGACCTTCCAGTGAGACTCAGAGCTGATCAGTTCAGCCTCTAGGATTTGTTGTTATTTTTAGATTATCTGTAACTTGGGGGTAATAATATTTGGCTTACTTATCTTACAACGTTTGGTGAAGATCGACTAAAAGAATGAATGTGAAAATATTTTAAAAAATATGAATCAATACCAGTGTTCCTAAAGTCATTTGTCCAACTCCCTCATGGTATTTTGCCTTGTGTATCACCTGTACTGTGATTTTTCTAAAAATTGGGCTATTCTAAAAAAGTTGTATGAAAAATATTTTATCAGGATCATAGTAAAGTGACACAGTAAAAAATAAAAACAAAAGCAATATAGTGTTATTAACTGCTAGCTAGCTACTATGAAGTGCTAAGGTTTGCTCTTAAAAACAGAGACTAGATTCAGGAAGGTTTAAAGTCAAACTAGTACCGGGTAGAAACTTCAACTCTGACATAATCAGAAGAGTTAAAAAAGGAAAACTAGAAAGGAAGAACTTTTCCATGATTCATTTAATCATGGAAATTAAATGAATGCTATTTAATATAGCTATTTAATATAGCTACATGGTGTGGCCTCTCATTTTTTAAAAAGTGAGGTATAGTAGATGTACAATGTCATGCTAGTTTCTGGTATACAGCCAAATGGTCCAGTTATACATGTGTATATATGTGTGTATAGATACACACACACATACATACATATACATTCCTTTTATATTCTTTCCCATTATGGTTTATTTCTTGCTGCTGAATACAGTTCCCTCTGCTATGCAGTAAGACCTTGTTGTTTATCTGATATGGTCTCATTCTTAACAAACACTGGTGGAGGGAATTCCCTGGTGGTTCAGCGGTTAGGACTTGCACTGCTGAGGCCAGGTTCAGTCCCTCGTCAGGGAACTAAGATCCTGTAAGCGACGCAGAATGGCCAAAATAAACACAAACAGACAAAAGTGATGTGTAACAGTGTTTGGGTTTTAACAACGACCTGCTGTATCACACAGGGACCTCTGCTCGGTGTTATGTGGCAGCCTGGACGGGAGGGGAGTTTGGGGTAGAATGGATACATGTATGTGTACGGCTGAGTCCCTCTGCTGTCCCCCTGAAACCAAGAGCGTTGCAAACTGGCTCTACCCCAATACCAAATAAAAAGGTAAAAAAATACAAAGAACACTTGGTTTTACGGAGAGGTTTCCCCAGGGAAGAAGAAAGCTCAATGATTGGTGAATAGTTGTTTGTGCCAGACCCTGTGTGGGCCCATTTTATCCTCATGGGAGCCTTGACAACCAGCTGAGACGGGGATTAATCCCCGTTTCACTTGGGAAAACGCAGGTCAGCGGTTGTGTACCCTGACTCAACATCACACAGGTGCCCAAAGAGAGAAACACTCAACGGCGGCGTGAACTCAGGAGTGCCCACACCACACGCAGTGCCACCACCCAGCTCCTCCTTATGACTTATGGAACTTAGGAAGAGCTGTGCTGGCTGTCTGCTGCTAGATGCATCATCAGAAAAAGTCAGTGCAATGAATTGGTTGAGAACCAGGTCTCTGGAGCCAGACTGGCTGGATTCACAAGCTGGCTCTGCTTCTTATTTGCTGTGTGACCTTGGGCCAGTTTCTCTACCTCTCTGTGCCCCAGATTGCTAAGGGATAATCACAGTACTCGTTTCAACTCGTTGTTCGAAGATTAAATGAACTGGTGTGTGTCAGTCACTTAAACGGTGCTGGTACAGGCTTCCCTCTCTTCAAGCATCAATATTACCCAAGCTTTATGTTACGTCTACCATGTTATAACTCGGGGATAGAATGTTCCACCCAGGGTTAAGAAGGCAGCAGGCCAAGGCATCTGTTCTTTAGAGCAGCCTTCACGTCTTTATTCCTCAGGCTGTAGATCAGAGGGTTCAGCATGGGGATGATGACTGTGTAGAAGACAGACACCACCTTGTTCTGCTCCGTGGAGCTGCGCGAGCTGGGCTGGGTGTACATGAAAGTGGTGGTGCCGTAGAAGAGGCAGATGAGGGCAAGGTGGGAGGTGCAGGTAGAGAGGGCTTTGCTCTGAGCTTCCAGGGAGCGCATCCTGCAGATGGTCACCAGGATGAAGCCATAGGAGACCAGGGTAAAGGTGATGGTACAGAGGAGAATCAGGGCAGCAGGCGGGAAGATGACGGCCTCAGCCCGGGCCCTGTCTCCGCAGGCAAGCTGGAGCACCGGGGGGATGTCACAGAAATAGTGGTGAATGATGTTGGGGCCGCAGTAGGGCAGGCTGGAGACGCTCCCGGTCAGCAAAGCGGAACTGGCAACAGAAGCCGTGTAGGTGGCCGCCACCAGCTGGACACACAGACGAGGGGACGAAAGGCTGCCGTAGAGCAGAGGGCGGCAGAGGGCGGCCAAGCGGTCGTAGGCCACGACGGCCAGGATGAGGCACTCGGCGGTGCCGTGGCGCGTCATGAGGGCCATCGGGACCACGCAGCCTGCGAAGGAGACGGACTGGCTGGAGGCGAGCAAGCCCCCCAGCAGTCCCGGGGTGTTCGCCGTGGAGAAGCCCGAGTCTACGATGGCGAGCACGCTCAGGAAGAAGTGCATGGGCGTGTGGAGCTGCGGCTCCGCGCGGATCAGGCTGATCATGCCCAGGTTGCCCAGGAGGGTCGCCGAGTAGATGAGCAGGAACAGAGCGAAGAGGACGCCCCGGGGCCCCGCCCGCTCCGCGAGCCCCCGCAGGACGAAGCCGCTGATGCGCGTGCAGTTCTCAGCCGCGGCGCACCTGTCAGGCAGAGACGCCAAATCAAGCCCCGCGTGCACCCTCGAGGCAGGCGCGGGGTCCGGGCCGACGTTCGCGTAATGCCCCTCGAGTGGGCGGTGCTGGCGGGGCTGGGGCGGGGGGGACGCTGGCGTGGACTGAACACCTACTGTGTGTCACGCGCTAACTCATCTCCTAAACAGCTGGTGAAAGTGCACACATGCTTTCTCTTTTCGATATTATGCCCATTTAACTGTCGACAATAGTCAAGACATGGGAGCAGCCTAAACGCCCACCGACAGCGGAAGGGGTAAAGAAGATGTGACACGTGTACCATGGAGTGTTACTCAGCCGTGAAGGGAGTGAAATGCTGCCGTCTGCAGCAACGTGGATGGATCTAGCGATGATCATACTAAGTGAAACAAGTTCAGGAAGAGCAAGGCAAATATCACATGGTATCACATGTGGAACCTAAAGTATGATGCCAGTGAGCTGGTCCGTGAACTGGGAACAGACTCACAGACGCAGGGAACGGACGTGCGGCGGCAAAGGGCTTCAGATGGGGGAGGGGTGGCTTGGGAGTTTGAGATTAGCAGATACAGACTACTGAATACAGTAGCATGTATACAAAGCATGGTGTGTATATAAACCCATATGTATACAAACTATTACACATAGAATGGATAAACAAGATCCCACTATGTAGCACATGGCACTATATTCAGTACCCTGTGATAAACCATAATGGAGAAGGATATGAAAAAGAACCTTTATATATGTCTAACTGAATCACTGCCGTATAGCTGAAATCAATACATTATTAATCATCTGCACCTCAATAAATTTAAAAATGTATACAACTTAAAAATATTATGCCCACTTATATTTAGTGAGGTCAGCAACTTGACCAAGGTAAGAAAGCGAGGACATAGGAGAGTGGGCTTAGAACTCAGTGAAATGAATTATATCAGCCTACTACATAGCTTTAATCACTTCCTGTCCCCAAATTTCCTGTTCCATGGGAAAGTGGCATCACTAACGAGTGTTGCAGGCCTGGTGTGTTGGCCCAGAGGGGGAACACATGGCGGTACTAATCTGTAATTTATTTTGGGGCAAAGGCCCCTCAGGCCAGGGACGCAGGGGACCGGGCCTAATGTCACCAGAGCACAGGTGACGCAGTAGAGCAGAGGTTTGTCCCGTCTTACAGGCTGAATTGCATCTGTCAGGAAGCTTTGCTGAAGTCCTCACCCCTGGGACCTGTGAATGTGACCTGATTTGGAGATAGGGTCTTTGCGGGTGTGAGCAAGTTGAATCACATTCGATTGGGGTGGGTCTTCAATCCAATGTGACTGGGGTCCTCATGAGAAGAGAAAGTGGGGGCTCCCCTGGTGGCTCAGTGGTGAAGAGTCCCCTTGCCAACGCAGGAGACACAACTTCATTCCCTGGCCCGGGAGGATCTCACGTGCCTCTGAGTAACTCAGCCCATGTGCCGCAACTGGGAGCCCACTGCAACAAGAAGACCCAGCACAACCAAAAAACCCCACCAGAATTAAGAAGAGAATGTGGAGACACAGGGAGGAGACTGCCCTGTGAAGGATCAGACACGGGGAAGGTGGCCGTGTGAAGACAGGCAGAGATTGGGGTGATGCTGCCACCAAAAAAAGAGATTGGGTGATGCGAAGAGCTGACTCATTGGAAAAGACCCTGATGCTGGGAAAGATTGAGGGCAGGAGGAGAAGGGGACGACAGAGGAGGAGATGGCTGGATGGCATCACCGACTCGATGGACATGACTTTGAGTAAATTCCGGGAGTTGGTGATGGACAGGGAGGACTGGCGTGCTGCAGACCATGGGGTTGCAAAGAGTCAGACACAACTGAGCAACTGAACTGACTGCCACAAGCCTAGAATGCCTAGAGCTTCCAGAAGTTGGAAGAGACAAAGAAGCATCCTTCCCTCAAGGCTTCCGAGGGAGCTCGGTTCTGCCAGCAGCTTCACGTTGGACGTGTAGCCAATGGAACTACAAGGGAGCATCTTTCTCTTGTGTGAGTCTGCACACTTTGTGGGACTTTGTTACAGCAGGCCTTGGAGACTCACACTCCCTTCTGGGGACCCTCCTGGCTCTTGATGGAGGCTCCTGAGCTGTTGTCAGGAGCCTGGGGTTTCTGATCTATCTCTGCGACAGAGCTGAGACTCCAAGGGGAGAAAATGAAACGAAATAGAGCCAAGTCTGTTTTGTTATTTACTAGCAACTAAGAAAAAGATTGGAGAAGGCAATGGCACCCCACCCCAGTACTCTTGCCTGGAAATTCCCATGGACGAAGGAGCGTGGTGGGCTGCAGTCCATGGGGTCGCTAAGAGTCGGACACGACTGAGCGACTTCACTTTCACCTTTCACTTTCATGCATTGGAGAAGGAAATGGCAACCCACTCCAGTGTTCTTGCCTGGAGAACCCCAGGGATGGGGGAGCCTGGTGGGCTTCCGTCTATGGGGTCGCAGAGTTGGACACGACTAAGCGACTTAGCAGCGGCAGCAAGAAAAAGATTTGTCCGGGCTAATGGGCAGCTACAGTAAATATGAAAATTCCCTTTCGGCAAAACCATAAGCAAAGAACAAACCCCTGTGCGTTAGCTATGAACAGCCGAAGGCAGCAGGCCGCGGCAGATCTGTGGCACCGGGGCCCGCGGCCGGGCAGGTTCTGAAGGCAGAACTGGAGGCGAGCTCTGTCCCCAGCGAGCACAGGTCAGCCTTCTCACGCCCACCTCCTTGACCTCCCCAGAGGGGCTCTCTCCGCTGGAGTCATGCTCCGAAGCACTTCCTTCCGCAGAACCCCGCTATCTAGATTTTCAGATCGCTGCGGCTGCTCGCTGTTTTGAGGGGAAACCCTGGGTTGGGGTCCTGGCCAGGGTCTGCTCTCTTTGGCTGGACGTCTGTTCGGTTAGTGTAGTGTCGGTTCTGGATTGGGACCTGTGGCTTTCAAGTTGTTAAAATTTGTAATTCTGAATGGTCTGGATGGAGCAAAGGAGGAGTAAGACAGCGTCTCTTTAGAATGTCTCAGGATAACAAGAAATAGGTGGTGTCTGTGTGTATCTTAGCCACTCAGTCGTGTCCGACTCTTTGCGATCCCATGGACCGTAGCCCGCCAGGCTTCTCTGTCCATGGGATTCTCCAGGCAAGAATACTGGAGTGGGTTGCCCTTCCCGTCTCCAGAGGATCTTCCTGACCCAGGGATTGAACCCTGGTCTCCTGCATCACAGGCAGATTCTTTACCGTTTGAGCTACAGGGAAGTCTAAATCAGGTGGTGTCGAAATCAGAGCTACTAACATGACTATGTGCTATCAGCGTGTGGTGGCAACTCAGTCTCTTGCCGACAAGAAGAAGGGGATATTTCTTCTGCGCTTATGATGTGTCCTTCCCTAAAGCGAGGACCCACTGTGTAACAGTCCTGACGCCCCCTTCTCCTAGAGGAGGACTTTTTGTGGTCAGTGGGTTTGGGATAAGGAACTGGATGTGTCTGGCTCTGCTTGGCTCTCTCCTTTGCTTTACTAGAAGCACAGGTTTTGCTCTGCTCTGCTTCTCCATAACGTAGATCTGAAAACTAGGTCATTGTCTGTCTGATTTTTTTTTTTTTTTTTAGTAAATCATACATTTTATTTATTTTTTTTTCACAACCATAGTGTATCTTTTTTTTTTTTTTTACATGTATTCCCCATCCCGGTCCCCCCTCCCACCTCCCTCTCCACCCAATCCCTCTGGGTCTTCCCAGTGCACCAGGCCCGAGCACTTGTCTCATGCACCCAACCTGGGCTGGTGAACTGTTTCACCCTAGATAATATACGTGTTTCGATGCTGTTCTCTTGAAACATCCCACCCTCGCCTTCTCCCAGAGTCCACAAGTCTGTTCTATACATCGGAGTCTCTTTTTCTGTTTTGCACATAGGGTTATCGTTACCATCTTTCTAAATTCCATATATATGTGTTAGTATACTGTAATGGTCTTTATCTTTCTGGCTTACTTCGCTCTGTATAATGGGCTCCAGTTTCATCCATCTCATTAGAACTGATTCAAATGAATTCTTTTTAATGGCTGAGTAATATTCCATGGTGTATATGTACCACAGCTTCCTCATCCATTCGTCTGCTGATGGGCATCTAGGTTGCTTCCATGTCCTGGCTATTATAAACAGTGCTGCGATGAACATTGGGGTACACGTGTCTCTTTCAGATCTGGTTTCCTCGGTGTGTATGCCCAGAAGTGGGATTGCTGGGTGTCTGTCTGATTTTTAAGACCACTTACAAGGCTGAGTCATGTTCTGCAGCACCAGGTTTTTTTCAGTCCTGCAGGTGGTATTTTCCTCTCCGTCTGCCTTGCTTCTACCTCCTCTCCCTTAATTGGTTCAGAATTTGCAGAGAGGAGAGATGCTAGCTGTTGGGATGCTTCAAGACCTCAGAGAAAACAAGAGGGGAGCTGGCAGGCATGCTCTGCCTGGCCTGTCTCTTCAAGGCATCCATGAGCTGGGTCAGGACACTGATAGGGTTAAGGGGTGAGGCGGTGGAAACAGTGGGTATGGTTGGACCTCAGAGGACCAGGGTTCACAGTGGCAAACTCCTGGATGAGAGCCAGCTCCAGCGCCTCTGAGGAGAGTGCGTGAAGGAGACTGAAGTGTCCTGATGTGAAGGAAAGAGGAGGCTTGTCAAAGTCAGCAGAGGGGTGGCTTGTGAATGCAGAGGTCACTGAAGGAGGGAGAGTCTCTGAGAGTTTCTGCAGGTCTCCTGTTCCCACGGATACCTTCCAGGGTCATGGATGGGTCGTGGTTCACTCTCTGACACCCCTGCTCTTTCCTCGGGCACAGGAATTGCTGTTTTGGGTTATCATTTTAAATGCTC